GACCGGCCGAGGGAGGACGCCACTCGCACGGTTGCGCAAGGTGTAAGAGTGTGGTCTGCACGACACGCCTGGCCGTGAGTGGTTGCGTGTATCGTTCGTTGCGCAAGTGGTGAGTTGTATGTGTTTACAACCTACGATCCCCGTCAGTGCGTTGCACGCGTGTCGCCCGTACTCGCACGCACGGATGGTGAATCCACAGACCACACGCAGAATTTACATGCACTTAAAGTTCTACGGCGTGTCTGCGTGCTCCCAAATCCGTAGTATTCCGTACGGAGGTGGTACTCACCACTTAAGCCCCGGTCACAACCCACCGTACGTGCTTCTGTGTGCTGTCTACTTGCAAAAACGTGGGAAAACGTAGGGCATCCGTGCGTGGTAAGTACCACCTCCATACGGAATCCTACGGATTTGGGAGCACGCAAACACGCCGTAGAACTTTAAGTGCACGTAAAACTTTTTCTACGTACGGTCTGCGGTCGTGCGGATTCACTACCCGTGCGTGCGAGTACGGGCGACGCGCGTGCCCCGTACGTATCGTACGTAAGACGCACGTGTGAGTACGACCTCCTTACGGTAAAGTTGCAATCGCACAGAGATCGTACGTTGTAAGCACGTACAACTCACTTGCCACTTGCGCAACGTACGATGCACGCAACCACTCACAGCCAGACGTAGCGTGCAGACCACACTCTTACACCTTGCGCAACCGTGCGTCGACGCCACTCCTTCCCCACGTTTTCAGAAAAAACGTAGCAGACGTAGCCTCCCAATAAAACGTACGGACAAAAAGCACGTACGCGGGTTGTGACCGAGGCTTTACGGATCCCCTACGTTTTCCCCACGTTTTTGCACGTAGACAGCACGCAGATGCACGTGTGGCGGGTTATGACCGACGCTTTAGAGTTGCCTGGTTATAGGTGTTAATCAGGGACCCGACAAAACAAAACAAAGCAAATGCAAAAAACTCTCGTGTTGACCCGCGGTAATCTGGTAGCAGGTATGGCTTGCCAAGTAGCCATCTTGCGATGGGACGGTTGGGCTGCTGTGATAACACCATCTGTACGTTGCTGGCAGCACCCCAAGGCCAGGGCTTTTGACCGTCGCAATGCAGATATACGTATACATTCACTCTATGAATGACCTTTCTTTTTAGCAACTTGGCCATTGACGACAACGAGGAGACGGAGATTTGTTGTTCTTGTTGTTGTTGTTACTTGCTCTGACATCATGCCTATAGCTTTAGACGCCTTATTAGAATAGTTCAATGCAAAGGATTAATTTCCTACTTGTAATCATTTGAAATCTAAGTTGTTGTTTTTTACCTATGTTGTCATCAGGTGCGTTTCAGATGTCCGGCAAAGTGCTCCTCACCGTGGGGCTGGTGTTTCTGGTCGGACGCACGTCGGCAACTGAAGACTTTCCGGGTAGGTCAAGTCGACAACTTGAGTTGTTTTCGTATAGTTGTGTGATCCTTCAACGTCGAAGATTTCTAAAAGAAGGAATTTGGATTTTCAGATATTTTGAGATCGACCAACGATCGCGCGTATTTTTGGCTTGAAAATCGTCGCTGTCACATTGTGCGAGGCTCGGGCGATCGCTTGGGAATACATCTATGATAATGAAGTCCCTATGATATGGCACGCAGATGAAGCAAGGCCGTGTATCCACCAAAAATGAATAGTTTGACCAATTTTTATGTATGACCTGTCGTTATATTTTTTTAAGCAAAGTAATGGAGCGGACTGGCAGAATAGAATAAAAATACAAACAGGAATTCTGTGAAGGATCCAACTCAAATACTACCACAAAAGCCACAAATTTACATTACCGTCTGGTTAACACAACGACCACCTTTTTAACCAGACAGGAGTCGGCCGAAGCTCGCTCGACACACGGGCGTATGCCGCCCGAGTTACGGTCGACGATCTATCGATGCTCTCACGATCTCTAGACCATTCAACCAAAACGTACAACAAGACATAATGATTATCATTATATCAAAATCTTTTTATACACGCGTACCTGAGCAAAGCTAATAAGATATATTGTTCGAAAACTTTGCCTGTATACTTCTGTCTAAAATAGTATGATTCTTCTGGTAAACAAGCTAAGCCATTCAATGTCAACAACGTACACAGAGGTAAAAATACCCATGCAATATAAACTTCAACTATAGTTCCTAGTGTATTCTTAGATCAGTGACAACTTGGAAGGATAAGGATAATAACCTCCAAATTTTCGATGGCTATCAGTCCATCTTGTTCTCGCGAGAGCGCGAGACTAGGCCCGAGACTTGCATCGGTCTGTCGGGTCCCACCCCCCGCTGCCTCCTTCCGGAGTAAGGGTAAGTCTTGGGGAGTTCCCAACCTTCTGTCCGGTTTAGCTTGGCACCTTCCAACTGTATGTGCACCGCTTCCTTAATCTTCCTGTGTGGGTTACGAGACTCTTGGTCTATGATTTCAATAATGTCAGAGATGGGCCTGGTAGTGATGTTGTGACCACCCTAGAGTTGGTGTTGGCTTAACGCAGATTTGCAATCTTTCTGGTGTAATGACTTTTGGTGTTCAGAAGTCCTTTCCCCCAGTGACCGCTCAGTTTCACCCACGTAAATCTCCCCACACTCTTCACACTTGATCTTGTAGATCACACCGCACTTCTCACTAGGTGCTAGAGGGTCCTTGGGTCTGACAAGGGCATTACGTAAGGTGAAGCCCGGTTTAGAGTACAGGCTCACATTATGTTTGGCATATACGCGTTTTATCCTCTCTGTAACTCCATGTATGTAGGGGAGAACCAAGTAACTCGCTGGGAGTTGTTCTTGTTTTCCGTCTTACTCTGTTCCTTGCTACTTTTGTCCTTTCTGGAGTTGTTGTCCCCCTCCCTCCACTCCGTGAACAAGATGGACTGATAGCCATCGAAAATTTGGAGGTTAGTAGCCTTATCCTTCCAAGTTGTCACTGATGAAATAATTCACTAGGAACTGTATCTATACGTGACAAATGAATCTCTTCAACGAAACTTCAACTAGTAAGTAATATCTATCACATGACGTTCTTGTAGGCACCCTAAGAAACAAGTCAACCTCATTCCAGAATGAACAAGTGTAAACGTCAATTTATTATATAATCATCTGAAATAAGGCCACACACCTCCTAAAGGGACAAGAGGAAGAATTGTTCTAGGTTACGGCACCCTAGCAACATTTTGAATTGTAACTGCAGGGCCGAATTTTGTTTGCGGCTTTGGCCCTTTTCCCACTAGCATAAAATTTTCCGGATCAAGCCGAATTGATTGGCGACCGGCTTCGATCCGGTTAATTTTACCCCCGTGTGAGCGCTCCCTATCCAGCTCGATCTCACGATCGTAGCTAAGCCCTACAAGCCGAACCGTGCCGCGGCGGATAGGGAACCTTCCCACTGGGGTAAAATTGACGGGATCGACGCCGGTCGCAAATGAATTCGGCTTGATCCGGACAACTTAATGCTAGTGGGAAAAGGGCCAAAGCCGCAAACAAAATTCGGCCCTGCAGTTACAATTCAAAATGTTGCTAGGGTGCCGTAACCTAGAACAATTCTTCATCAAGCAATGATCTATTAGCTACCCAAAAATCATGACCCTAGCATGTCCATCAGAACCTCAGAACACGAGATATGGAAGCCGTAAATTCTGCTACAAGGAACGACGCCAGGGAGTAAATTTTTAATTAAAGAAAACCTTTCTTTGATAGGTCAGGCTTACTTACCTACTAAATTTGATGACAATCAATCCATACCTTCTTGACTTGTATGCTTCATGCTAAATCACAAAACTATAAACTTCCCTACGTTTCCAAGAAATGATCGTTTACGCGATTGTAAATCCTAATGTCGCCATTAACGGACTACCATGTCACA